CACACCCCGGGACCCCTCCCGGGACCCCCCCCCCCGCGGGGAAGGGATCAAAGGGAAGGGGCTTCCCTTCGACTCAACTACGACGTTGCTGCTTCATTTCGCTTTGGCTGGCGCGCTTGAGGACGAGGGCCCAGAAAAAGGGGGGGTGGAGAGCGGCGACGGCGACGACGACGACGACGACGACGACGACGGCGACGGCGACGGCGACGGCGACGGCGGCGGCGACGACGACGACGACGACGACGACGACGACGACGACGACGACGACGACGACGACGACGACGATAACGGAAGAGCGCCTTCCCCACGCCGGCAGGGTCGGCGGCGGACTTTGGTGTGATTCTCGCATGCTCGCTTTTTTTCCGACCTCGGGGCGCCCAGGACGGCCCGAGAAGCCCCCGAGATCGACCCAAGAAGGCCAGACCCCTCCCCTGACCTTCCAGGAGGGCTAAAACATAGCACCCGACTTAAAAACCTATCCCAAAGCTATTCTACGTCTTGGTTTTAGGCTGTTTCGCCCAGCTTTTTAGGTTTTTAGGTCTCCAGTGCTAAAAAATAGCTCTCTGGAAGGTCAGGGTCAGGGGTCCCAAGTCAGCCCAGCAGGGCTCCAAGACGGCCCAGCAGGGCTCCGAGACGGCCCAGTAGGCCACCAAGATGGGGCCAGGACGGGCTCAGGGCGGCCCAGGAGCGCATCCAGATGGCCCCGAGGCGCCCCGCGAACGTCCGTCGACGCCCCCAGAGCAGCTCCCAGTGGCCCCGGTGCAGGACCGCCCAGATGGCTCCAGGAGGCTCGGGAGGGCCCCTCGAACAGACTTCCAGAGAAAGCCTCCTGAGAAGGTCCCCGGAGAAGGTCGGTCCCCAAGAAGGCCCCCCAAGAAGGCCTGGCAAGAGCCCCCGAGACATCCCGGCCCCTAAGAGGCCTCCGACCCTCTTGTGTTGGGCACTCGTTTTGAATAGAGCACTGTCTGACCCCACCTCCTCCTTCCTCCCTCCATTCTCCTCCTCCTCGTTTTCTTTCTCATCCTCCTTGCCTCGTGACCTCGCCGTCCCTTGGGGGGCTGCGATCTGCGAAACTGTCGCCACATTCTTGGGCTTCTGGGAGGCCCAGCGGAGGTATGTCATACGCGGATCACCACGAGACCTCGCCGTCCCCTGGGGGGCCGCGATCTGTGAAATTGTCGCCACTTTCGTGGGTTTCTGGGAGGCCCAGCGGAGGTACGACCAACGTGGATCACCACGACACCTCGCCGTCCCCTGGGGGGCTGCGATCTGCGACACTGTTGCCACTTTGGTTGGCTTCTGGGAGGCCCAGCGGAGGTACGTCCTACGCGGATCACCACGAGACCTCGCCGTCCCATTGTGGGGCTGAGATCTGCGAAATTGTCGCCACCGTCGTAGGCTTCTGGAAGGCCCAGCGGAGGTACGTCCAACGTGGATCACCACGAGACCTCCCCGTCCCCTGGGGGGCTGCGATCTGTGAAATTGTTGCCACTTTCGTGGGCTCCAGGAGGCCCAGCGGAGGTACGTCCTACGCGGATCACCACGAGACCTCGCCAGGGGGCTGAGATGTGCGAAATTGTTGCACATTCATAGGCTTCGGGAGGCCCAGCGGAGGTACGTCCTACGCGGATCACCACGAGACCTCGCCGTCCCCAGGGGGCAGCGACCTGCGAAACTCTTGCCATTTTCGTTGGATTCTGGGAGGCCCAGCGGAGGCATGTCATACGCGGATCACCACGAGACCTCGCCGTCCCCTGGGGGGGGGCTGCGATTTGCGATTTCAGGGAGTCCCAGCGGAGGTACGTCCTACGCGGATCACCACGAGACCTCGCCGTCCCCTGGGGGGCCGCGATCTGTGAAATTGTTGCCACTTTCGTGGGCTCCAGGAGGTCCAGCGGAGGTACGTCCAACGTGGATCACCACGACACCTCGCCATTCCCTGGGGGGCTGCGATCTGCGACACCGTTGCCTTTTTCGTTGGATTCCGGGAGGCCAAGCGGAGGTACGTCCTACGCGGATCACCACGAGACCTCGCCGTCCGCTGGGGGGCTGCGATTGGTTTCTGGGAGGGCCAGCGGAGTGACTCGGCGTGTGCGAGCGCCGCGCAGCGAATAGCGCATGGCGCTGTCCGCTGCCCGTGCCGCATCCCTTCTTCAGCTACCTGTTGCTTGTAATGCATGCGGAAACATGCTACGTGTAGCGCAAGGCGCTGTAGTGTCATAGCGCGCAGAGCGCTGTCCTGCATTTCGAACACGGCGCAAGGCTCTGCTACTCCCACGAATTATAACTCCAATCGTCCCACCTCCACATGTTTCCACGCCTTCTCGTGGTCGCTTTCTTACTAACGACCTAACTCTTAAGAGTGACGCCGCATATGTGAAACATTTGGGTCTGGCCCGACGTTCTTTGGCGAAACGCTCAAGGGCATTGCGGATCATTCAATGATGGCTTTTGTATAGAGCGATCCGATGTATACTCGCTTGGCATGTGGGTTGGTCCCTGGGTGGTGCAGTTTGTTCCTCGTGGCCTTGTCCTTCTCAGCCGTGCGGTCCCAGTGCGGGCGCCCCCCGGCTGTGCCCGACCGGGGTTTTAAAAGGTGTGGTGCCGGTGTCATTCTGACCTACTGAGTAGTTGGGGGAGGCTCTCTAGGTGCGGGCCACCCGCCTACGGACTCTGGACTGCGAGTGTACGCTGCGATGCCCACGTGGTGATCGAGGGTGTGCCAGGGTCCCCGACCTCAGAGAATGGCGGGAGGGCTGCGGCGGTGCGCGCGGCGTCGTTACAGTCAGGCTGGTGTGTGTGGTCGAGGCCGGCTCGGGGAGTGCACCCTAATGTTTTTCGTGCTTGCTGGATGTTCTCGTGCGTTCTTGGGGAGCGCACCCTCGAAGGTTCTTCAGTTGGGCCAGCGGAAGGTTTCATGTTCTTGAACGGTGGTCTCCTGTCTTACAGTGGGGGCCCATGCCAGAAACACCCTGCTCACCTCCAGGGTGCCCTGGGGTCCACGGGTTTCGATGGTTTTGCCGTGGAAGGCGCGGCGTTCCCACAGCAAAAATCAATGGACGTCCTGGGGTCTCAGGGTTGGGTTTCTTCGGGGGGGGTTCTCGTGGTCGGGCCTTCGATGTATTCGCAGGCTCGGTGCCAGGCCTCGCAGTTCTGCTCACCAGCTGTGCGTTGTTGCGGAGTGCGGACTCCTCGGCAGAGCGCAGCGTCCGCGCTCATGCCACCGTCCCACCACGAGCACCTCGCCCCTCTGTCTTCGGCTGTCGCTCCTCCCTTCTCGCTCCTCGGTCTTCGCCGTTCGTTCATCGCTTCTCACCCTGTCCCTCCTCGATCTCCTCGATGCCGACTTCTCTCGATCCTCTCCTGGCAGCAGGTCGCGCCAGCAAGCTGAGGCAGCGAGAGACGGCACCCTGCAGTATCAGGCAGCAGCAGCGAGCGGCAGCAGCACGAGGCAGGCAGCAGCAGCGGCAGCATACAGCAACAGCAGGCAGCAGCAGGCAGCAGCAGGCAGCAGCAGGCAGCAGCAGGCAGCAGCAGGCAGCAGCAGGCAGCAGCAGGCAGCAACATGCAGCAACAGCAGCGACAGCAGGCAGCAGCATGCACCAATCACAACTGGCCACCAGCGGTACCCTGCAGCCACAAGCAGCAACAAATGCAGCAGCGGCAAATGTTGCCAACAGCACGCAACAGCGGCAGCAAACGCGCAGTATCATGCGCGGGATGCTAGGGTCGAACCCCATGTTATTCATCTCATCCTTTCGCCAGTATGTGCACGATCCCGTGCCAGTTCGTGCAGATTTCGTGGGCGCAGTCCACCGGTCAGCCCCAGTCTCTACTACATTGCAGGGCCCAGTGCGTGCCAGAAGGGCGCAGGCCCCAATGCACCGAAACCGCCCCGGGCTGGCCCCGGGCCGCCCAGGGAGGCCCCAAGACGGCTCCAGGACATGTCGAGAGGGCCCCCAGAAGCCCCCAAGACGGCCCCGGAGAGCCCCGGCACGCTTAAAGATGGGCCCAAGACGCCCGAGATTCGCCCCAGACGGCCCAAGAGGCGTCCAAGACGCCCGAAGAGGCCTCCCAAGAGGCCTCCCAAGAGGGCCCCGAGCGACAGATATCGTCGATTTCTATTGTGTTTTTCGATGTTTTCGCCCTCCTCGCCTCTTCGGCTTCCCGACGCTCCAAGACGGCCCAAGAAGTCCCCCCGAACGCTCCAAGACGGCCGAAGAGGACCCCAAGAGAGCCCCAAGACGGGCCAGGAGGGCCCCCAGACGGTGCCCAGACGCCCCAGGACGGCCCCCGGACGGCCCAGGAGGCGCCCAAGACGGCCCAAGAGGCACCCAAGACGGCCCCAGGAGCTGCCCAAGACGGCCCAAGACAGTCCAAGAGGCGCCGAGGCGGGCCTCAGACGGCCCCAAGACGGCCCAAGAGGCACCCAAGACGGCCCGAGAGGGCCCTAAGAGCCCCCCCGGGAGGCCCAAAAGAAGGCCGAAGAGGCTCCGAAACGGCCCCCACGAAGCCTTCAGTGGCTTCAGAATTCCCTCCAGGAGCGGGGGAGCGGACGAGAGGCGACAGGCATATCGCAGGCAAAAACGCCCCAAGAGATCCCCAAACGGCCCCCACGAAGCCCTAAGTGGCTTCAGAATTGCTTCCAGGAGGGGGGGAGCGGACGAGAGGCGACCGGCATATCGAAGGCACAAAAGAACAATGTTGGACGCTCCGAGGGCCTTCGATGTTTCTCTGTTGGGGAGAGTCGTCGTGGGATCGACGATTGCCGACCGAGGGCATGGAGAATCCAGCGAAAGAGGAGAAGAAGGTGGAAGAGGAGGAGGAGGAGGCGGAGGAGGAGGAGGAGGAGGGGGAGGAAGCAGCAGGACCTCCGAAGCTGGAGCCCGACGCTATCATGATTGCCTTTCGGCCCTGCAGCCGCACCCCCTCGCGCTTGCCCAGAGACCCCTCGCCACGTCGAGCTGATGTCGTGGACGGAGTCCACAGGTCTGCCCTAGTCAGCTACAACGCTGGGATAAGCGCGTGCGAGAAAGGCAAGCAGTGGAAGCGGGCTCTATCGCTGCTTAAGGAGATGCGGGAGTCTTGGTCGGAGCCCACTGTCATCAGCTACATCGCTGGGATCCGCGCGTGTGAGAGATGCGGCCAGTGGTGGCAAGCCTTATCGCTGCTCAGCGAGATGCGGGATAACAATTGGGAGCCCAACGGAATCAGTTACGATCTGGTCATCACAGCGTATGAGAGGTCATCTGGCGACTCGGCAGGATTTCCGGGCTCTGTTCAGACTGGCCTCTCGCGCTTTCGATCATCCCACGAGGCGCTGTGAGTGTGGGGGACCATGCAGGGCAGCCATAGTGATCACCGGGACAGTCATCGAACTCGAAACTCGCGTCGCTGGCCACCCGCCGCACAGCAAGCCTTCTGGCATGCCATGCCGTGGGTCCGCCCTTTGTGAGCTGCTGCGCCAGGCCAGCGCGCGCGCGAGAGGCAGCCAGAGTGACTGCGGGCCCCGCCGCTGCTCGGCGAGCCGTGGGCGGCGAAGCTGGAGCCCCCTGCCAGCAGCACCACCGTCCTGGAGGGGCAGCGCGGGCGAGAGAGCACGGCCGGCGGCAGGGGCCGTGAGGGCGGGGACCCCCCGCCGCCGCGGCCGCCCGCGGGGCCTCCTGCAGTCCGCCGCGAGGGCCTCCCTGGAGGCGCCCGGCGCCCCAGGCAGCTCGAGGAGCTCCCGGGGGCCCCGGCCTGGTCCCCCACAGTGGTCCTCCTCCTCCTCCTCCTCCTCCTCCTCCTCCTCCTCCTCCTCTCCTCCCCTCTCCGTCCTCCTCCTCCTGTCCTCCTCCTCCTCTTCCTCCTCCTCCTCCTACTCCCCCTCCTCCGCCTCCTCCTCCAGCATGGTCCAGGCCAGGGCTCCTCTGAGGAAGCGTCGAAGTTCCGCGGGGTGTTCCTCCACTGCCTGCCGTTCTCGGCCTCGCGGCCAGGTGGCCTGCAAGAGGGCTCCGTGTCCCGGGCCTGCAAAAAGGGCCCTCGGGGACGCCCCAGACCTCCTCCCGCCCCCCCCCCCCTCCCAGAAGCAGGTATCCCCTGGCAGCCGCCAAGACGGCCCCAAGACAGCCAGCAAGACGCGGTAAGCACAGTCAGCGACAGGCAGCAGTCAGCAATCAGACACTAGAACCAACCCGCAGCACCCCGTAACACCAGCAGCGGGCAACAGCAGCAAGCAACATCACGTGTTCGACGGCGGCGGGCAGTTTCGCAGACAGTCCAAGTCGCCCTGCAGCATATTGTAGGTTCCCCGGGGTCTTAGGAAACTTGACCAACCAAGCGCGCCCCAAGAATAACGTTCCATGCCAGATGAGCAGGTCGCTTGCGGGTGTGCCCCATTGGCACACGCCTGTCAGTTAAAACGCCAGTCTCGCTGCATGCGAGATGGGTTGGCAGTGGCAGCACGTTCTGTCGCGGTTCGTCTCGCTTCTGAAGGTGATTTTAGAGCCCACTGAAATCAGCTGCTATGCTGGGGCCAGCGCGTGCGAGAAATGCGGCCAGTGGCGGCACGCAATTTCATTGCTCAGCGATTCGTCGGAGACGGGTTTGCATTTGAACCTCCTCAGCCATCATGCTGGCACCAGAGTGTGTGAGATGTCTTCGGGCGGCAGCGGAGGATTCCCAAGCTTCCTTCGGGTCGGTTTCTGGCGCTTTCCATCTTCTTACGACGCTGAATTCGTTTGGGCACCACGGGACTGCACTGGCGTACTTACCTGCGTGAGCAGCCTCAGATGTATTACCCGCCTGTTCGTTTGTTCACGCATCTGTGCACAAATGTCTGAGCCTGTCGGTCGGCGACGATGAGCGATTCTTGCCAGTGTGCTGCTTCAGAAGCTCTTTGTCGCCTGCAGTCGTAGACATGGACGTGAACGCTCGGCTCGATATAGTCAGCTACCCAGCCGGGATTTGCGTGGGCGGGAACAGTGGCAGGGCTTGTCACTGCTCGGCATAAGCTGATAGGCGGAGCAGGAGCTCGATGCCTCCTTTGCACTGCAGCACACTGCCCAGCTCTTCCGACGAGCGAGCTGCAAGACCGTGCGCTTTCGATGGTCGGCCCCTGGCCTCTGGATTCTCTTGCCTGGTCTGTCCCAGTCGTCACCTCGCGCTCTCTTCGGCCTCTAAAAGAAAATAAGACAAACACAAAACAATAAAACAAGAAACAACAATTTTAACAACACATCGCGCTCTCTTCTGCCTCTCTACATGTCTCTTGCTCGCTGAGGCTTCCGCAGTCTTTCCGCAGACCGTGTTTGGGGGTTCCAAGTACTGGCCCTCAATCACATGTTGGCAACCCAAACCATGAAACAAGTCACATTGGTTTCAGTCAATGCTTCTTTTTTCCCCAAGCAGTGCTTGCACTGAAGGGGTCCTAGCGGAAGTTGAAATATTTGGCGAAAGTTTCCCGCCGATTTTGGTAGCAGGTTGGGTTCCCAGGTTCCCGGTTCCGGGTTCCCGGGTTCCCGGGTTCCCGGTTATTGGTTCCGGGCCGAGTTCGGTGGGTTCTGGGTTCCCGGGCTCTCGGGTTCCCGGCCGATCTCCTGAGCGAAAACCATCCTTTGATTGGGGTTTTCTTCTGGTGTAATGTATTGCTTCTCCCAGTCATGCATCGCTGTCGATCCGATTCTAGTACCGCCCATGGCACTCAGGCTGGTCTCCAGAGAGTTACAAGAGGTCCCCAGAAGGCATTCGGAGATTTCACGTATGGCCGCAACAGGCCCGGGAATATGGGCAAATTACACAACAATAACTTGACGTAGAGACATGGTCGTAGCGCTGTGTGCTTGTCAGAGTGAGGCTCTGAATCCCGTGTTCCATGGCTTCCGCATTGTTGAGGGACTTCTGGGGCCCGAATACCTTTGGAACAGAACGGGATTCTCATTTGTGTTGCGTCTCCCTGCTTCCCCCGCACCTCTCGGCTTGACGATAGCGTCCAGCGGAGTTGGGACGGTGTAAGGATGCATGTGCGATTGGCCTGCAATGCCGATGAACCGAGCTGGCATCCATCCGCCTAAGCACGTGGGCAGAGGAAACTCATGCAGAGGGAGGCGAGGCGATATTCGCGCGGATACTTTACCTCTCAAAGTCATGCAACGTTTGTGTAATTCGGACGCCATCAGCCGAACTTTGTTCAAAGTATCTCACAGGTTAGCCGGTTTCTCCTGCTTCAATCTTAAAGTTGAAGGAGGAGGAGCAGGAGGAGGAGGAGGAGGAGGAGGAGGAGGAGGAGGAGGAGGAGGAGGAGGAGGAGGAGGAGGAGGAGGAGGACGAGGAGGACGAGGAGATGGAGGAGGAGGAGGAGGAGGAGGAGGAGGGAGGAGGAGGAGGAGGAGGAGAAGGAGAAGGATGGGAGGAGAGGAGGAGGAGGAGGGAGGAGGAGGAGGGAGGAGGAGGAGGAGGGGAGGAGGGAGGAGGAGGGAGGAGGAGGAGGAGGGGAGTGAGGGAGGGGGAGGAGGAGGAGGAGAGGAGGAGGATGAGAGAGGAGAGGGAGAGGAGGAGGAGAAGAGGAGGAGGAGGAGGAGGAGGAGGAGGAGGAGGAGGAGGAGGAGGAGGAGGAAGAACTGGGCGTCCTGAGGGCACTCGGCACCACTGCGCCCCGAAAGTGCGCGCGCGCGCCGTGCGGAGCCCAGGCGCCGCGGGGGGCGCCGCGCGGGGCTGCCTGGAGGCCCCGGCGGAGCTGGTGAAGACGCGGCAGCAGGCGGGCCCCTCCAGAGGCCGAGCGGAGGACACGGGAGGCGTTCCAGAAAAGGGGCCTCGCCTGCGAGGGTCGAAGGAGCTGCCGCCTCCTCCTCGGACGGGAGGCGGAGGCGGAAGGGCGGCGGAGGCCGGCGGGAGCAAAAGGGGGGGGGGCGGCCGTGCCGGCCCCGCCTGCGGACGGCCCGCGGAGGCCAGCGGGAGTAGCAGACGCGACCCCAACAGGCGGCAACATTTTTGGGCGCGCGGCTTCTCGAACCGGCCGCCTCCAGCCAGGCGGGGCCGCCCGCGGTCAGGCCGCTTCCACGAGGACCACTCTCAGGAGGGGAAGAAGCACACACACAGACACCAGGAATCGTCGATGCCCCAGGAGATATACGGGAAAGTGTGGGAAGGGGGGGGGGGAGACGAAGAGGCAGAAGACCTGGGAAGCTGTGGGGGAACCCTGGGATTCGTGTGCATGCACTTGTGTGCCCCCGGGCCCCTTCGGTCACACCTGGAGCTCAGGGGGGGCTTCGCTCTCCCGGGCCGCTCCGCAGGCCTGGGTCAGGGGACCTGCCCGTGGCCGGGGATGGCCGTGGCCAGACACGCCCCCTCGTTCCTCATTCGGCGTGGAGGGTTTCTCCGAAGGGCTCAGGCGACCCGTCCTCCTCCTCCTCCTCCTCCACTTCCTCCTCCTCCTCGCCCTCCTCTTCCTCCTTCTCCTCCGCCTCCTCCTCCTCCTCCTCCTCCTCCTCCTCC